GCAAAATATACAGGAAATAAGAAATGGAAAATTATTTGTTGAGAACACGTATGTTGATGTGCTTGATTGAGCCAATATACAGTGTATTCTGGATGGGAAATCTCATTTTGTATGCTGTAATGATGTATAGTGAATGAATGTAAATAAATTTAAAAATAAATAAATTTATTAATTAACTCAGCTCAACTTCATATAATTAGGATAGAAAGAGCAACAAAAAGCCACCACTGGAAAATTATCTGTTGATAATAGTATGTATGATAATACCTTTAACTGGACTAATGTACAGTGTATTCATGCTGGAAAATTTCATTTTACAAGTTGTAATGATATACAATGATTGAACGTATAAAAAATAATTAATTATTTTTTTAAAGGAAAGAAATAAGCGAAAATGTCACCACTTATTCTATAATAGGCACCATGCTCCGAGCACAATAAATTTCTGCTCATCCAACCCAAGTCCAAAAGTGTGAGGTAGAAATTATCAGTGCTGGTAGATGAGGAAATTGAGTTTCAGAAAGGATAAATAACTTACAAAAGTCACATTACTCTGTCTTTTGACAGAATCCAGATTTAGAGAAAATTGTGTCTAGGTCCAAAACCCTTTTTTCTAAAAACACAAAACAAAAAACAATGACAAAAAAAACAAAACAAAACAAAACAAAACAAACTTAATTTTTAAAAAGCTTATTTAAAGTAATTTCTTTCATGGGAGTGAGAAAGACAAGCACCCTCAACAGGGTCCCACACCATGATCCCTCCCTTACACCCCTTCAGCCAGCTAGAATCATGGGCACATGTATGCACCTGGCACATATGAGCCAATACCAGAACTGAACCATTCCTTCACAAGGCCTTCAGCATTGCAGAGTGCTAAACCACTATGGGTGGGCTGGAAATCCTTTTTCAAAACCAGTGCATGCAAGAGTCAGAATAACTGCTGTGATTTGCGTGTTCTCTCAGAATTCATGTGTTAGAACTTGGTCATTTTATGAAGGTATTAAGAGGAAATAATACCTTCATGAGGTTGAAAGGTGAGGCCTTTAGGAAGATAAAAGGATTAAGCGGCAACCCCTATGACTGACTGCTGGTTGGCTTATAAGGAGAGGCAAAGAGACCAGAACAGACACAGGGATGGACAAAGTCATTCTGCTCTGTTCTCACCCGTGTGATGATGTAACACCTACGAACTCTGCAAGATAGAAAGAGCAACAAAAAGCCACCACTGGAAAATTATCTGTTGATAATAGTATGTATGATAATACCTTTAACTGGACTAATGTACAGTGTATTCATGCTGGAAAATTTCATTTTACAAGTTGTAATGATATACAATGATTGAACGTATAAAAAATAATTAATTATTTTTTTAAAGGAAAGAAATAAGCGAAAATGTCACCACTTATTCTATAATAGGCACCATGCTCCGAGCACAATAAATTTCTGCTCATCCAACCCAAGTACAAAAGTGTGAGGTAGAAATTATCAGTGTTGGTAGATGAGGAAATTGAGCTTCAGAAAGGATAAATAACTTACAAAAGTCACATTACTCTGTCTTTTGACAGAATCCAGATTTAGAGAAAATTGTGTCTAGGTCCAAAACCCTTTTTTCTAAAAACACAAAACAAAAAACAATGACAAAAAAAACAAAACAAAACAAAACAAAACAAACTTAATTTTTAAAAAGCTTATTTAAAGTAATTTCTTTCATGGGAGTGAGAAAGACAAGCACCCTCAACAGGGTCCCACACCATGATCCCTCCCTTACACCCCTCCAGCCAGCTATAATCATGGGCACATGTATGCACCTGGCACATATGGGTCAATACCAGAACTGAACCCTGTTCCTTCACAAGGCCTTCAGCATTGCAGAGTGCTAAACCACTATGGGTGGGCTGGAAATCCTTTTTCAAAACCAGTGCATGCAAGAGTCAGAATAACTGCTGTGATTTGCATGTTCTCTCAGAATTCATGTGTTAGAACTTGGTCATTTTATGAAGGTATTAAGAGGAAATAACACCTTCATGAGGTTGAAAGGTGAGGCCTTTAGGAAGATAAAAGGATTAGGCGGCAACCCCTATGACTGACTGCTGGTTGGCTTATAAGGAGAGGCAAAGAGACCAGAACAGACACAGGGATGGACAAAGTCATTCTGCTCTGTTCTCACCCGTGTGATGATGTAACACCTACGAACTCTGCAAGATTCCCACCCTGCAGACCCTGGACTTCCCAACTGGAGCTACATAAACCTCTATCTTTTAAACTATGCAGATTCTGGTATTTTCTGTTATTAGTAAATAAAATAAAAAAATAAAAATAATAAAAACAGTAATTTTCAACATGTGGTCTTGGCATATAATAGAGATCAAAAGAACAGAAGAGAATCTAGACAGAAGTGAATTTATTGCTGGGTCTATGGCACAGCGGTAATGTGCTGCTCAAGAGAAGCCAGATTCCATATGGTGACCATGGTTTGAATCTCCAATCAGGTCAGGCATGCGCAACGGTGCCCAAGATCTAATGGTCTGGAGGACTGGAGGAAGGGGATCATGGTGTTACTGGACCTGGATCCTGACACGGGAAAGGTGCTCTCTCACATGTGTGCACATATACTCTATCATGGATGAAAAAATGCATTGTTAAGAGTACTGGGGGAATTCTGAAATTAGGATATGTGTATATATATGTGTGTGCGTGTGTGTGTGTATTGCAGAGGTCATTCATAAACATTAAAAGTACATGATGAGACTGACACAGAATTGAAGAAAGCAATCCCACTTACAATAGCTACAAAGCAAATAAGATACCTAGGAATAAATCTAACCAAAGAGGTGAAAGAATTCTACAAGGAAAACTATGAAAAATTAAGATAAGAAATAGAGTATGATACAGAAAAATAAAGGACATCCTGGGTTCTTGGATTGGAAGAATAAATATAACCCAAATGTCAGCCGTACCCAAATTAATTTACATATTATTCAATGCAATTCTAATCCAATTACCTAAGATAATCTTCACAGTAATAGAAAAAACAATTACAAAGTTTGCCTGGAATAAAAAGAGACCTTGTATTGCAAAGCAATATTGTACCAAAAAAATAAAACAAGAAGCATCTCACTACTTGACTTTAAAGTATATTACAAAGTAATGATAATCGAAACAGCATGTTACTGGCATACATATAGACCCATAGACCAATGGAACAGAATAGAGAATCCAGAAATAAACCCCAAATCATGCAGTCAATTGATCTTGAATAAAGGGTATGAGACAATGCAGTGGAGAAAATAAAGTCTTTTTTATCAAATGATTTTGAAAGAACTGGATTTGTATTTGCAAAAAAATGAAATTGGACCATATCTCTCACCATTAACTAGAATTAATTCAAAATTGATCAAATATTTAAATATAAAGCCTCTAACTACCACTAGTAAAAAACATAGGGAGAAATTTTTAAAGACATGTGAATATGCAAATTATTTCTCTGTGTTTACTGCAGCATTATTTACAATTACTAAAATATGAAACCAACCTAAGTATCCAAAAATTGGTGATTAGGGTGTTCTATAAGAAACAATAAGATCGTATTGTTTGACTCAAAATGGATGAACATAGAAGACTTAAGGTTGAGCAAAGTGAGCCAGACTTTGAAAGATACACGTTGTATATCCCCACTCAATTTGTGGTGAGTGCTACAGCAGAGACTGACAGACTTGAAAATGTGATGGTAGAGAGGATGGGTGTAAATGTAAGAAACTGTCAGGACAGTAATTTTTAACATGTGGTCTTGGCATATAATAGTGATCAAAAGAACAGAAGAGAATCTAGACAGAAGTGAATTTATTACTGGGTCTATGGCACAGTGGTAATGTGCTGCTCAAGAGAAGCCAGATTCCATATGGTGACCGTGGTTTGAATCTCCAGCCAGGTCAGGCATGCACAGCAGTGCCCAAGATCTAATGGTCTGGAGGACTGGAGGAAGGGGATCATGGTGTAACTGGACCTGGATCTTGATACGGGAAAGGTGCTCTCTCACATGCGTGCACATACACTCTATCATGGATGAAAAAATGCATTGTTAAGAGTACTGGGGGAATTCTGAAATTAGGATATGTGTATATATATGTGTGTGTGTGTGTGTGTGTGTGTGTGTGTGTGTGTATTGCAGAGGTCATTCATAAACATTAAAAGTACATGATGAGACTGACACAGAATTGAAGAAAGCAATCCCATTTACAATAGCTACAAAGCAAATAAGATACCTAGGAATAAATCTAACCAAAGAGGTGAAAGAATTCTACAAGGAAAACTATGAAAAATTAAGATAAGAAATAGAGTATGATACAAAAAAAATAAAGGACATCCTGAGTTCTTGGATTGGAAGAATAAATATAACCCAAATGTCAGCCGTACCCAAATTAATTTATATATTATTCAATGCAATTCTAATCCAATTACATGAGATGATCTTCACAGTAATAGAAAAAACAGTTACAAAGTTTGCCTGGAAAAAAAAGAGACCTTGTATTGCAAAGCAATATTGTACCAAAAAAATAAAATAAGAAGCATCTCACTACTTGACTTTAAAGTATATTACAAAGTAATGATAATCGAAACAGCATGTTACTGGCATACATATAGACCCATAGACCAATGGAACAGAATAGAGAATCCAGAAATAAACCCCAAATCATGCAGTCAATTGATCTTGAATAAAGGGTATGAGACAATGCAGTGGAGAAAATAAAGTCTTTTTTATCAAATGATTTTGAAAGAACTAGATATGTATTTGCAAAAAAATGAAATTGGACCATATCTCTCACCATTAACTAGAATTAATTCAAAATGGATCAAATATTTAAATATAAAGCCTCTAACTACCACTAGTAAAAAACATAGGGAGAAATTTTTGAAGACATGTGAATATGCAAATTATTTCTCTGTGTTTACTGCAGCATTATTTACAATTACTAAAATATGAAACCAACCTAAGTATCCAAAAATTGGTGATTGGGGTATTCTATAAGAAACAATAAGATCGTATTGTTTGACTCAAAATGGATGAACATAGAAGACTTAAGGTTGAGCAAAGTGAGCCAGACTTTGAAAGATACACGTTGTATATCCCCACTCAATTTGTGGTGAGTGCTACAGCAGAGACTGACAGACTTGAAAATGTGATGGTAGAGAGGATGGGTGTAAATGTAAGAAACTGTAAAAAGTGGATACTACAGAGTCGGTGGGAGAAGGTGGGTGTGAGGTGCAAGGGGAGGAAAAATTATCTGTGGCACATACTCTTTCAATAAGTGTGTATTCAGTCATATATAAATTGTATATACTCTACAATACTATGATAGCATGAAACATACAAAAAAGAAATAAAGTTTAAGAAAAATAACAAAAATAATCACACGTGAGTATATGAGGTAGTTGTTCTTCTCCCCAATCCTAGTTTGTAGTTTTATAGATATTCTTCTAAAAATTTTATCTTATTTTTTAAAACAAATACAATCACTCAGTACTCTTGGCAGAATACTGTGAATATCTCTTCATTTAACACACAGAGATCCACTTCATTCTTTTTGATGTCTGTGAATTATATCTTTTTTAACTAGAAAGCGTCTATAGTTTTCCTGTTAAGGCTGATATTGACTGTTAGTTTCTGATGGATATGTTCAATCAAGCTTAAGTAGCAGCAATATATCCTTTTTTTTATTCAGAAGATATTAAATACATGAAACAATACAAATTTTATTATTGCTTTTTTCAACACCTCCAGAGATAAGCCTTTTTCCTCTAAACTTATCTAATACATTATATTACATTAATAGATCCTTACTACTCAGTCAGAATTTTATAAAAGTAAAAATCTTAATAGTAATTCCTAACACTTAGAATTCTACAGTCATTTCTATTGTTTTATTTTATTTTATTTTATTTTTTTTTGAGAGAGATTTTCGCTATAGGGCGCATGCGCTCGCCAGACAGAGAGAGAGAGACATAGAGATAGAAAGCGTAACTGCTGGTTCCCTCTATTATTTTATTATAGATATCATTCTTTTAATATGCAAGTAGCAATCACTTAGAGAACAATAATTTACCCCCAAATTGCCCTGAATAAACTTACTTACAGGAGTCCAAATTGTGAGAATTCATATAGGAAGAGCTATTTAAGTTTTTTGGTATTGATATTATTTACATGAATAAATTTGAGACTTGCCTAATTAGAGAACGTCTATTGTGTGGCATCTTATCATTGTTTGTTATTAATACCATGTTGTCTTTGGTAAAGGATTGGAAGTTTTACTTCTTTCTCTATGTTTTAGAACACTATGAAAAGAATTAGAATGACCTGTTCTTTCAAGGATTGAGAAAGAATAGGCTGAAAAAAAAACAAAACAATCAAGACATTTGGGAGGTATGAGTAAGGTTTTTTTTAAATGTTGTTTCTTTTTTATTGCTAGAGGGTGAGCATGCTCCCTGGAGAGAGAGAATGCACCCCCACTCCCAACAGGGCATGGTCATGTTGCAGTCCTTTATCCTCCATCTACCCATCCCTTCAGGATTTGGGGTATGCATGCTCATGTGCCAGGTATGTTTTTCAAGTTGCACGAGCTCATGTTTGAACTGTGGTCAGCCATTTGGGATCTGGCTCCCCAGCCACAGTGCTTAATTACTATGCTACAGGGAAACCCAGGTAATACTCAATTCTTTAAATATTTTGAATTTCTCATATGCTTACTTGTTTATATCTAGAGGAATCTTGCTCTGCCAGATATTAATACTTTAACAGTTCATAAAAAAAACTTCAGTAATTTTAAAAGCTTATGTCATTGCAAATATATAAATTGGACAAATATATTATCAGGCAAAATAAGTATCTAGAAATAAACACATGAACACATAGGATAAAAGTTTAATAACAAAATGTTGATGACTAACTCAATTCCCAGTGTTGCGACAACCGGTTAGTCAGATAGGAAAAAAACAAAGTGAGCCTATTAGCCTTCTCTTTCACTAAAACAACTCCAAAGATGTTAATAATTTCAATGCAAAAAAATATATATACAACCCATAAAAATTGGAGAGATTAACTTCTTGGAGTAGGAACGATCTTTATCAATATCTGTGGGAAGCCACAATGTATAATTGAATTTTTTAAATGAATTTAATAATGCAAAAACTATTTTATACTATCTTCAAAATTATAAACAATATTAAGAAACAAACAACAAAAGGGAAACTCTATGACAAACCCAGCATTAACATTCAAATATCAGGTTGTCAGAAAAGTCGTGACGCGTTTTGACATAGACAAATACGTTGTGACTTTTCTGACAACCCAATAGATATTTAAAAGTAAGAGAAAAAGAAAAATGATCCAAAAAAGAATTCAACATGAGTCAGGAAGAGAGAATTCACTTTGATCAGATATTCACCTTATCCAATTTAAGAATAACACTGTCAATAAATAAATAATGCCTGGACTTGATAATAGTATGGAGAAAGCATATCTTCCACAGAGGGTAGGAAGCAATATGACATAGTAATTTTAGAGAACAATTTTGCTTATCAAAAGAATTACAAGTTTAAGAATTTATTCTAAGAATATACTGAGGAAATGGACAAAAGATGTTCAGTATCTCATTATTTATATAGCTGCATAACTACTACAAAAAACTAAGTTACCAAAGTATCTACGAATACGTAAGTAGTTCAAACTGTTACATTCATTCAACATAATATTTTATAGTAATAAAAATGATGTAATAATTATTTACTGACATGGAAAGATGTTAAATCTTATAATTACTAAGTGACAACAGCTGGTTTCAGAGACTGATCATAATTTCAGGAGAATACATTTGTATAACTGTGAATGACATAACATCTGAGAGCATATCACTGAAATGTTAAAAAAAGAAAACAAGGTTAGGTTCTATGTACTAGGATTATGAATTGTTTTTACTCTATTATTAATGCCCTTCTGTATTATTTGAGTTTTTATAAAGTGCATTTGTTATTTTCTAAAAAGGGAATTTTTTTTAAATTTTTTTTTTTTTAAGGTTTTTGCCATAGAACACATGGGCTTGCTGGAGAGGGAGACAGTAACAGGGAAAGTAGAAATCACCCCCCATGGGGATGCTCATGTCACAATCCCTTCTCCTCCATTCTCCCCCTGGGATGTTGGGCATGCACGCATACATGCCTGGTGTGACTTTCAAGCCACCAGGTCCAGGATTCAAACTGTGGTTGAACATGTGAGAATCTAGCACCTTCACCACCATGCCACCATCTGGTTCCAGAAAATATTCTTTCATGAAAAGTTTTAGTTATTTGCGTAGAGGGAAAACAAATAAAAACATGCTATTCCTGGGCTAGAATTTTATCTAATGTTAATAAATAATCTTACAAGTAGAAATAGATAAAAATTGCAAGTACAAGTATCTATTGATAAGAAACTTAAGAAACATGTAGTCTATACGTCAATGGAATACTTTAAATCCATTAATAATTTGTAATCGCTCTATATTTTACTATGGTGGTTTTGACCTCATTCAAGTCACTTTATCCTCCTAGGTTCTTAGCCACATGCCTTAAGGCAAGTATCAACAGATAATGAATAGTAAAATTTTAGAGGAAACTTCACTTCCTCTGCTCTTTGTTGGCACTGTTTTTTACAAGGGGCGTTCACCAATTCTATAAAAACAATACAATTATGAAGACAAACCAAAACAAATACATTTCTAGTGTTAATATCGTCAGCATCAAGGCCTTCAGACTGAGATAGAGGCACACGTTAAAACTCCACACATATTTAGAAGAATATTAAGACGCAGAATTATAGGTTGGTTGTAATCTTACATGAAATCTGGCTATCAGCTCACGATCCAGAGGCTTTGTCACTGACAGCTGACCTGAGATGGGGTTGATAATGAAGATACCAGTTGGAGGCTGGTCAGCTCCTGGCCCAGTTACGCTGTACCGCAGTGAAAGGTTTTTATCTCTATCAGACCTGATCTGAGGATCAAGAAAACAATCACATTAAGTGAGAGATTAAATGAGCTCATTATGAGCCAGGGCATGCCACGCTTCAAGCCCTTTTCCACTACAAACTTACACCCTCTCTTTTCAGAAAACCACTGAAACTCTCCCAGTTTTTGTCCCTCTTCTTTGCTTCTTGGTGACAGGCTTCTAAAGGAGATGTCACCAACACCAGAAAAAACTAGAGGCAACATTAACATATAAAAGAACCCTCACTAGGAGCCATGCAAAACTCAAAATTTAAACAGAATCAAACTGTCTGCTGGAAGTTTCTGGGTATGACCATTTAACAAGGTAATTGGTGTTCAATTTAATTAAAATAAAGGTTGTTTATTACCTTTTTTGCATCAGTCACTATAAGACATAATTTTCTAACTAACCTTTGAAATATCTTCATATGAACTCTAACACTGTGGTTGAGCCTGAACATCAGATTTCGGTCCTCGCTTTGTACTAACGCTATTCACTGCAACCATAGCTTCCCATACCTTTTTAAGGTGGCAACAAACCTTAAAATTTTGGCAACAAACCAAAATATTTTATTAATAGTAAACCATACAAAACAGCAGTCTTAAATGTATTTTTATGCTCACAAATATTATACCCATTACAGGCTCACTGCCTTCTGCAAATTTAACTATCCCCAGGAAAATTAAGTCAGTATCTGAACAGACACAGGAAACAGAACAGGCTCTGAAAGGGAAGAAGGCAGGTAGGCAGAGAGAAAGATGCAGTTAAGTGATACTATTTGTAGGTAAGAATAAGAGATCCTTATATATTGTGCAAATATACTTCAGTTCATTGATAGAATCTAGTTTTTTCTTTTTTTTTTTTAAAGATAAGGCAAAATTCTCTTTCCTCATTCTCAAAGTAGAACATTAGAAAGCACCTTTATTTTAGGACTAGGTTGATAATTGAATTATAATGCCCATTAGGACAGAATATACACCAGGAATAAGTGCCATACTTTAGAAATACAGGTTTTAGTATGTGTTTCCATACTAAAATAATTATATACAGACATATTACATTCTTAGTAAGTGAGAATACAGTGACTTTGCATAGGATTTTTGTCTTTTTGTAATAAAAAATAGTTTGCTAATTTCACTAAACATGTAAAAACATGTGAATTTTTTTTTGCATTCAATGGTATATATCTGGAGTAACTGAAAAAAAAAAATTACTTATCAGATCTGAAAGTCTATGGTTTTGCCCTGCACTAGAAATCTTATTAATGGCATCAGAGGTCTTTTTTGTTGTTTTCCTTAAAAATCTCTCAAATGTACTTGGTGCTGCCATTTTTAGCAATGACTGCACTTTATATTTTCTTTGTCCCAACTCTGTCTGTAGAGAGCAAAGGCCATCCTGAAGAAGTCAGTTTTTAAACTCAGGAGTTTGGGTGAGTGTATGCTGTGAGACTAGGTACAGTGTCGATGGAAGGCTTGTGGAGTTCGGGCTTATGTATGCACAAAGGGAACAAGCTTTATCATCCACAATGTACAGACCTACAGAGAGTTGTACCTACATATAATCCAAGGAATAATAAGTGAAAATAAGGAGAAGCATTTTATGACATGGTAGAAATTCCATCTATACCAAAATAACATGTGTCTTTTCTGCCTTATTTTTTAGTATACGGAATACATGTTATAAACTCTGATTTGTAGAAAAATAGAAAAACATTCCTAACATATACTGCCCACGTGCCACGGAAAGAATGAAATGCCACCCTACCCTGACAAGCTCTTGAGGAAAAGGTCCTCTGGAATTTTCCGGCAAGTTGATTGGAGGGATGACCCAGTCTCTCTTCTGCCGTTGTAGGTAGCCATCATGTTTAGTGAATTGCTTTGGGAATACTATTTCTTCGACTTCTTGTGATTCCTAGTTGCATTAAAATACAAGACATTCCTGAGTACTAGAAGAAAAATTTCTAAAAGTATGTCGATATTAATGGATACCTCCAAGTAGAGGGACCACAGTTTATCATGAATAAAAATAAGTCCGGATACCCTTTTTTCCTTATTTCTCTATTAAAATAACAGAAAATACCACAAAATTTGGGGGTTACGCTACTCATTAAAAAACTGAATTCCAAACAATTTCTTATATGACTCGGCTGTGTAAACTATTTGGAGATTCTATACACCATCTTAGGTAGTAGTTAATATTAAGAAAAATTTAATAGTATCCTTTTATATATTTCTCATTAGTTTAAACCACAGTTCAGGTAATGTGCTACCGTACATTAAATTTAGGTCTTGATGTGCTAAAATATAATTTGAATTCCAAGAGAAGTTTAATACATACTGCTAAGGAATGTCTCAAATATTTATGACCCTATTAAATCCCACAGAATTAATGCTGTAATTATTCTAAACCTATGTCAGCCATGATAGATGCTGTAGATGACCCACTTTGCACACTAGGTATTAATCTCTGCTGGATGTCAACATTTTCTTCTGTTTCTCCCTATATCTGTAGACATTTCCGCCATTAGCCCTTGCTGCTTCAGTGCAAATATCCAAGCTGGCTGACTGGCACACAGTGAATCAACAACAACAAAAACATCTTTTCACTCCATTAGTTACCAGTTTCTCAATGTATATTTACCAAATGCCAGGACTTCCTTAAAAGATTAACAAATGAGATTTCACATACTGAAACACTAAAACTGGTACAAGAGAAAAATGATTTATTTTTCTCTGACATAATCATCTTTGATGAGGGGTGTATATGTGGGTGTCTTCAAAGAACTCATAGAAAATGTGTATTATAAAAAATTATGCATGGAATTCAAAATTTTGCACCAAAATGAACTTACACTTTAATTCCATTTTCTATGACTGGTTTAAAGTCCCCTCATATATCATATGCATGATAAAGTACCAGAAATGAATGTGTGTTCTATGTCTCACATATATAATAAGTACATAAAATATATAGTCATAATTCAGAAATCATCAATTTCAAAATATATAGTGTTCCCTCACATTTTTAGAATTGATTCAAAGAACTATAAAATTTAGGAAATAATATCATCATGACTTTTCTAATCCTAATGCAGTGACTTATACAAAATAAGTGCTCAATAAATGTTTATTCAATTGAATTGAATGATATTTTGCTGGAAATCTATCTCACTTATTTCATGTTGGCTCACACCAGCTTCCACCAGAGGGTGTGTTTCATTCCTAAAAGTCATAGCAATAGAATAAATAATTCATACTCCCCGATTTGGCTAGTAAGGGACAAGACAAAAATCCAATACTCACTGCTCAAAATGCTTTTCTGTTACTGTAAATCTGTACTTCCCATCTAATAAATTTGACTTACGACATTGTGCAAAGAATTGTTTATTTTGTGGTTATATTTAACAGCTTATAAAGCTTCTAAGAAATGTAAAATAAATACGTCTAACTTAAGTTATAAATCTCAAAATATAAACAAACCTTTCAAATGCAATTTCTGGTTGCTTAAAATATATTTAGTTTAAGTATCTTAATGGATTAAAAAGACAGTAAAATACCATTTGATGCATGTTGATAAAAATTCAAATATTTTCCATCCACTAGTGTGAAATGAAGCAAAGTACACCTTTAGTTCAAACAGAATAAATCTGATTTTTAAGCTTCTACTCCAGAGCTATATTCAGATACTATACCTTCACTGACTCATCACTTAAGGTGGGCTTAAGGCTCAATTTGACGGCCACTTGCCACTTTTCCTGGGTCTCTTTGTCTTGGGCATATATCAGGAACTTGGCATGCTCAGAGGAGAGTGGGAAACTTCTCACAGCATACACCATACCATCTTCATCCACCTTGAAATCTGCGGGTTCACTGCTTTCATACTGTACTTTTCTTTTCCCATTGCAGTTGCTAAACTTCACTGGAAAAGATAAATATACAAGTCTGATTATTCCATAAGGTCAAAAGAAACGAACATCTAAACCTTTAACCTGTTTAGGCTTATAGGATAAGATGTAGTAGTAGGAAACATAAAAGCTTTATTTTTATGTCACTATTTTCATAATACGAGGTTACTTCAAAAAGCTTGTGAAAAGTCATGCAGTAAACATTGTTTATCTGTTGTCTTGTCCAAATACCCAAGTATATAAATACATATATATATATAAAATTGTGTATTAAATTAATGCAATTAAAGTTCAAGTTTATTTAAGTGCAAAAAAGTATTTAAATCAACACCTAGTTTTTTCATAATGTAGATTTTCCACCAGCATTTTTTTTCTCTGTTTTGTGAGAATCCATCCACATGTGCTTACTAAAGACACAAAAAAGGGAAAAAGCACCCTCAAATCAGTATGTTCATGCCACAATCCCTTCTCTTCTATTTCTCTATCCTGGTGGAATCTGGGCATACACAAACATGTGTCCAGCCTGTTCTTCAAAATGCTGGGGCTGGGATTTGAACTGCATAATTAGTCATGAGGGATCTGGCGCACTCTGAAACCTTCTAAAGCACTTCACAGAATGCCAGACTGCAATTCTGAGTCCTTTGCCAGCATCTCCCTGCCCTTTGCCCTGCCCCAGATACTGGTCCCTTGGGTACCACTACTTTTTACCATGACCCTTTTAACTGATAAGGCATCCCTCCACCCTAACAAACTCTTAAACATCTTTCAGTCCCAGCTTCAAAGTCAGTGGAGGTAGAACAAACTCCTTGTTCTCAGTCTTCATGTAGAAATTTGAGCTCTGCCCCCAGTGTCACAGCCACCCCTGACAAGGCACATGCTTTCAGGTGAACTGTAATCTCTGCACACTTCCTGGCACATACCTTAATATATAACTTGTAAACAGATACTCAAAGGAAGAAAGAAATATGTTTATTATTGTCAAATGTCTACAATTGCTCTACAATTTTAAGACCTTAATGGTAATTAAAACCTTACAATAATTCAAAGGTGAATAATTTGCAATATCATCTTCTCATCATGCTTATAATAGTTCTCTTAAGTAGTGCTAACTTTATAAATGTTCATTTCTTAAAGTTTATTATATATGTTATATTATTATAGTTTACTATTTTCTTCCATGAGATGGGGAGGACACAGCACCCTCAAAAGGGTCTTCATGCTGAGAACTACTTCTAGCCTCTGCCAGTCTATGGGCAAAGTGTGTCCAGGGAGATCTCTGAACATGAACCCAGGACCTCCCCATGTGGGTCCAGCATCAGAGAGTGTTATGTTGCTGCTGTACCACCACTACTGGCCCACTTTTATGCATTTTTCAAATGAATGAAAGATGTCTCTCCAAATAAATTTTAAATTAGAAAATCTATGCCTTAAAAGCAGAGGAATCAAAAAGATTCAATGTCTTTATCTTATACCTAGTGACCTAAGTTTTTAATAATTAATGTTTTTTTCATTTGTTATGTCAATCAACTTAAATCTCAACAGATAATGAATCAAAAGTTAAACCACATACTTATGTAGAACTAGACAAACTCAAGATACATTAAAGTATAAGAATATTCTCTAAGGAAGTTTTGTTTTTTTAAAGTCTTTACTCTTTCTTTACTCTTTCTTTTAAAAATTCAATAGTCTTTTATTTCTGTAAACATCTGATGTTATATCCTGACCACAATTATATAAGACACACTTTGAAACACAATAGGCATAGGTTACAAAATATAATCATATTCACATTTTACATTTCTCAAAAATCTAATAAAGTTCGTTTTATCTTTCTTTTAAAAATTCAATAGGAATAGTGAGTGAAGGAATTAAATAAAAAGCAGTCTTTTATTTCTGTAAACATCTGATGTTATATCCTGACCACAATTATATAAGACACACTTTGAAACACAATAGGCATAGGTTACAAAATATAATCATATTCACATTTTACATTTCTCAAAAATCTAATAAAGTTTGTTTTATTTTGTTTTTAAGTTTTGCCACAGAGTGCATGTGCTTGCTGAAGAGAAAAAGAGAAAGAGAAACTGAGAAATCACCCTTGTAGGGGGCTGGCCATGCTACAGTCCCGTCTCCTCCTTTCTCCTTTTGCTTGCACATGGGCCCCAAGCTCAGACCACGGGGCTGGCCATGTGAGACCCAGCCACTTTAACACCACCATGCCACCAGCTGGCCTGACCTAATAAAGTTCTTACAAACCCTACCCACTCTACATACAAACTGGTGATGGTTCTTTTGTTTTATCATTAACAGAAATTGACAGAACTTACACAAGACCACAGCCAAATAACATGCAAGTTTATTCCCTTAGTAGCCATAAAATCCTTGACAGAAGTAATAAAATATTTTAACTACTGAATATATTATTTTCCACATAATGCCACATAGATCATCCTTTGTATTTCAATCATGTTGAGATGAAAATAAAAGTTGTCTCTCAAACTAATTTATGTTAAACCCAAATATTTAGCTTGGGAGAAGTATCCCAAAAGATACTTAATTACTCCTTCTTACATGCCTTGTGATTTAAAAGTGAAAAATTAGAAATCTTTTCTATAGAACAATATCATATACTGACTATCTTTATGAAAACAACAAAATCAAAAGTAAAATTGTTATTTGGACCCTTGCTGAGAAATCAAAATGAGGAACTTTTACCACAGTTTTGTATAAAATGTATCTTCTTCATATCACAAAGAAATTCATGTTAACTTAAAAACATATCATTTGGAACAGAAAGATTTACACCACACATGCACTTTTATCCCTGTATTGGGACACGCTTCCATTTCCATGCCACCTTCTAGAGTCAGGCTACCATTCTAGGCTGAGTAGTCACCATGGGCCTTTGCAAGATGCCAGCCCATGCCCTCATTTTGGACCATTATAAAGTTTTTATTTTCTTTTGCATTTCTTGCCTTTAAAACATGTTAATACTTTATGTGATTATAATATTAGTAATTATTATAATAAAGAATTTGTTAATGATTTTATGTGATAAGATTTTTCTTTTCCTAAGCAGACTATAAACTCATTGGGGCTTTCTAATATTGAGTCTTGGTTCTTTTATTTCACATAACACCTAAGAGGTAATGATCAATAGAATCGATCATTAAATATTCATTAGTATCTTACTTTTTTGAAAAATGAAAAAAAAAAGACCAGAAATGAAGGGTTTGCACCACCTACGATAGCCATATTTAGTGACAAAAACTTATGTATTTTAATTAATTATTTGTAGTAATTGCTGGTAGAAGACAATGAGTTATTGTTGAATGCCAGATATTGAACAAGACATTTAAGATAATATTATATACTTTAACAATAAACTCTCAAGGTGAAAATCATTATTTCTGTTTTACCAATGGGGAAAGAAAAAAGAGTCATCTGTACTCATTCTTTTCCTATAGAAGTGCAAAGGTATCTAACTAAGCTGATTAAATTACTGAAAATTAAAGTGGGTCAGCCCGTAGGCTGCTGGTTAATGTGGCCGGATCACACATGGGCAACTGTGTGGTTCGAGTCCTAGACACTATAGTTTGAGAAACATGCCAGGGGTGCGTGTGTGTGTGTGTGTGTGTGTGTGTGTGCACCCAAAATTCCATGAGAAGAAGAATGTGCAGCGTGATCATGTCTCATAGAGGGTGCTTTCTTCCTCTCTCTCTCTCTGTGTGCATCTCTAGCAAGCATCCACATCCTCTAGGAAATTTAAAACAAAACAAAACAAAACAAAATCTAGGGCCAGCAGATAGCATGGTGGTTAAGGTGCTGGATCACACGTGGGTGACTCTGTGATTCAAATCCTGGAATTAGCAGCCTGAAAAACATGCCCGGCACGTGTGCATGTGTGCCCAAAATCCCAAGAGGAGAATGGAGAAGAGATTGCTGCATGGACATCCCTCCTGAAACAAGTGCATGTGCCCGATGGCAAGAAATCTGTTAACAAAAAATAAAGCTTTAATAAATAATACACTTTAAAACATTGATAAAGAGGCCTGATAAATGCTTTTAAAGAGCATAACATCAAACGTAGATCTCTGGATGTACCACAGTAAACATCGTATAAGAAATATTTAAGTGAGACTATATTCTTAAATGTCCTATAGAGGGCAGTATTCAAGCCCCTTCAGATAGGTGAGGGTAAGAGTGGGCAGAGTTCACACTCATTGTTACTGTGAATGCTCATTCTGTTACTGTAATACTCAGTTACCTATTTGAATTTGGGTGTCAGAGTACTCTGGAGTGGGAACAGTATTTGAAAAAAATACATTTGCTAAGAAGAAATGTGCCCTTTTTTACAAGGGGTCACTGCACATCCCATAAATGAGAAGCTGACCTCAGAGTCTGACACTGGGAAAAACACAGGAGAAAATGGTATCTAGGTCAGTCATTTGGAGTCAGTTGGTTTTCTACCACCCCTGCTCCTAACCTATAACCAACGTGCCTTGATTTAATACCTGTTACTAAATATTTCTTTTCTTTTCTCTTTTCTTTACAAATATGCCAATTCTGATTTGCTCTAAAATTAAAAGAAACAAAAGCTACTGGCATTATTTGGACTAAAAAAAGATGTTTTATTACATAATTTCTTTCTTGTATTCAACCAATAGGTTCAATATCTTTTTTTAAAAAAAAATAATTGTCATATAGAAAAGTTCTCCTCCTTCGTAGCCCTGCCTTCATACCATGGGTGAAGTCATTCAAGAATACAGTCCCGACTCCTTGGTACAACTATATTGATGTTAACCTTTCTTATTTTACAAGTCATGCAAACTAAAGCTTACTGATTTCATTGGATAATGTATGACTTTGCATTGCTTATCCACCGGTCAATGTTTATTACCTTTTATCTTTTTTACTTATTACATTTTTCCTATGACATAGATGCAGCTAAACATATTTCTCAATTTTGAAAAGATCCACCTCTGTCCTATGATCCAGCACTACAATTTGT